ACCTCTGTGATTTTTTTTTTTTTTTTTCAATTTTACCGGACAGGTTGGGGATATTAAAATGCAGAGGTCCTTGTTCCATATTATGTTTATCCAACACTTGCAGCAAATGTCTCATAAAGTTTTTGCATTCTGTTAAATGTCTTAAATATAATACCATTAAATAAAAAGTAAACATTTAAGGTATTCGATTTATTGAAAATAATGCTGTAAATTTGGCTCTGTCTCAGAAAATCCTGGGTGCATACAGTGAATTTGTATAATTTGATAGAAAGTAATTTTTCTCATCTGTATTTAGATTTGATCTTTCTAGTCCCAAAGTTATAACAGTCTTGAATTATAGTTTGTAACCATACCTTTTGCTTCAGGTCATAACTTAATCATTTTCCATTATTATTATATTTTTAAATAGGCTGGTGTGTGACCAGTTGAAGGGTACAATCTTGTTCAATTACTTGATACACATTATCTTATATACTAATGTCGTGACTAAGTGATCTAAGTAAAATAAAAAAATCAGTAAAAAGATAATTGGAAATGAAGTCTAATCTGTGTTCACTGAGCTAAAAGGAAGATCTGCAAGTTATTCAAATAGACCTGGGAGAATTTTTCTTGAAAACGAGGCATAATAAAGCCTCCTTTGTCTTCCATCACTGGGGAATGTAGGAAATCAAAGTAGTGAATTTAGTAAAATAATGGAAGTTTATGTCTTTAAGCTTTTAAATTCTTTTTATCCTTTGCTCTTAGGGAAACTGCTTGTAATTTTAAAAAATGGCTCTGGGCCATTGTTATTCTAACCAGGATTAAGGGGACTTGAGAATGTTCAGAGCTGTTCGTCCCCATTAAACGGCTGCAGAATGCTTTTATTGTTTCCTTCTGGTTTTGTTAAAAAAAAAAACAAAAAACACAACTTTTGTTTTCCCTCCTTGTTGTTCACCACATCCTTCCGTGTCTATCTGCCTGTTTCTAATTTGCTGCCTAAATTTAGGTGCAATACAAGACCCGCCTTGTCCCCTACTCAGTTCTTCTAGGAAGTCAGGTCTCATGCCAACCGATTGATTTATTCTTATTTGTCTTACAGCTTAGTCACTGATGCTGGCAGCCACTACTGTAACCCTGTTCCCCGGTGCTGGGAACTCTTCTCATTGCCTGTTTCTTAAAAGGCCCTGATTCCCTGTCTTACCCCTGTAAGCCTTCTGTTGCTTTCCCATTCCTGACGGAGGTACAATTCCTAGAAAATATTTTCTTTTTAAAGCATTATTGACTTTTAACAAATAGCTAGATATTTCTCCAGCAAAATGGGTGTATTCCGCAGCAACGAAGAATTGCAATTTGGGACATGTGATCTAATAGCGAACCATGTACGAGTCCCAAGAGACACAGGAGAGGAACACTATTTTGTGAACTTGGGGGTGGGGAGGGGGCCTGTTATAAACAAAGAGTCCATTGGAGGAAATTGACAATTCGTAGTGACTTCGTTGGCTGAGTTAGGCAGCCTCCCATTGGTTGAGCTGCTGCTGCTGAGGTAGTAGTGTCACTTCCGGCTGGACATGCGGAGTTTGTCTCTTCCTGTTGAGGTCAGTAGTCGCACTGAGTGATTTGAGAGCGATCTCTCTTCTAGCCTCCCGACTCCATTTAAAGGAGGCTTCTGTTGATTTATTTTCACAGTATTATAACAAATATGGGAGGACTGGAAAGTAAAACAGGATGAGAGTCAAGGGGAAGAAATGTCCCAGAGAGTTCAAAGAAAACGTCCCGATTGTCTTTCGAAAAGCGGTTTCCAGAGGAGGGGGGACACTCTCATGCTGTGGTGCCAGGAGGCTGGCAGCACGCTGCACGGGCGGCACGGGCCGGGGCGTCCTTGGAGGGAGAGCGGTGTCGGGAGAGAACCTGGGCTCAGGGGGTGTCTGTCTGCCGCTCTGACGAAGCGTCCCAGGACAGAGCGATACAGCAAAGGCGCACGCGGGAGAAGCATGTCATCGTCACGGGTTTAAACATTTGTCCTCCTTCGGAGAGTTCAGGCCTGGCCAGATGGAACGTCCCCAGAAAGCAATCAGACGTCGTTTCTCCTGCTCTCATGCGCTTTCCCAGGAAGGAAGCGGCTTGCTCCCCTGGACATAAACCTCCGGCCTGGCACCGTAAGGCAGCCAGAGCCAGCAGCCGTGAAGTTAACCATGTGAGAAGCATTTTAAAAAGCTGGGCCACTTATGGTATTAACCTGAGGGTCTTAGACCCCTAAAGCAGTGGACTTACGCCTTTTGGTTTCGGGGCCCCTCTGTCATCAACGTTATTGAGGATACCTGAGGGCTTTGGTTTATGCAGGCTGGTATCCATCAGTATTTACCACACTAGAAATTAAAGCGGAGAAAAATGTGGAACACAACAACATGCAAGCCCACGTCCCATTGACTGTCGGAGTGACGGAGTCATCACGTGTCACGTAGCCTCCGGACAGGTCCGCGGTACGCTTGAGAGAGAGGAGTGAAGAGGTGACGGACAGCTCAGGATGCCTGCAGAAGTGGCCTGGGCGGCATGGAGCTCCCGCGAGAGCCTGGAGCAAGGCTATGGGATTTCCAGACCCGCTTTTGAGAAACGTGGCCCTTGGTGGTCTCTGACTAGAATTCAGGAGACGTGAGATCTTAGATGGGGAAAAATTATGTCATGTTTTCACTCATTTCCAACAGAAACTTATTTCCTTCCATCTCTAATGTATGCACAATCCTCAGCAATATCAGGAGTGCCTGCGATTTTGCTACCAATAGAAATCACAGATATATTCATAGTATATTGAGTTATTGCAGATTATCTTAAAATATCATTTATGTTCATTTACTTTAAAATTATGGTAGACTTGCTGCTAGATATTAATCTCTTTATAAATAGGCACCCATATTAGTATTATTATTTTATCATTTAAAATTACTTTGATAACTATGTTTTAATATAATCAATTTCCTATGCGATCCTATGGCTTGTGCTTTATGCATTGAAGAATTCTATTTGGAGAAGAGGTCAGTGGCATATGACAGGTTTGGAATTTCAAGGGGCTTAGAAGGCCTCCAGTGTGTCATCCTCCTGGAACTGTCTGGCGACAGGCTGAGCCCATGAAAAGGGTAGCGGGGAGGTGTGCCCTAGTCAGGTAAATCTGCCGTCGACAAGCAGCACGTAGCCGACACCCCGTTCTTCATCATTCTGGTGCAGCCTTTCGGGCTGGGCTCGCTGGGCTCCTTGGCAGGGAATGAGACGTTTGCCCACTGGTTTGAGGAGTAATCCATCTTCTGTTTTCTTAGAGAGTCAGAAAATAGCCTGTTGGCTTACGAAGCCTGTTCCCCCGTGGTCTGCCATTATGGAATCTTGCCTGAAATGCTCTGCAACCAACTCTGAATCGTCAGCACTTATGAATGCGTGTGTGACGTTCAAAACGTTTCTAAATTAAATAATAACCCAAACTGAGAAATAAAGCCAGAAAGTCGAGGCTGTTCTTTTCGCTTGTTGGCATAAGCCAGTTGGCATTTTTCAGGGGCCTGGGAAGTGATTCTGAAGCGACACAGCCCTGACCTTTGGGTCACGTGATCCGTCTTCGCCGTTCTTGGATATTCTCTGAAAAGCAAACCCTCCGAAGATGTATCGATGGCGTCAATAAGACAGAGCGCTGCGTTAGGGGCCACCGAACGACTTTCTTGTTCTGCCTCCAGCCAGCCGCGGGGTCTTGGGAGAGCTTAGCCTCTGCGACTCAGTGTCCTCACTGCAGAGCTTCTCCAGCTCAAATACCATCATCCCCCCCCACCCCGTCTCGGGAGCTTCATTCCGACACCCCATGGGGACGCCTGAAACTGCTGACAGCGCCGAACGCTATGCACACGGTGCTTTTTCCTACCCACAGACGCCCATGATAAAGTTTGACGTATAAAGTAGGCACAGTCAGAGATTAACAACAGCAACTAGTAATAAAATAAACAGTTATAATAATACAGTGTAATAGAAAGATAATGTGACTGGCTTCGGGGCCATTTCAAAGTAGAGTAAGGGTGGCCTGAACACAGCATCGTGGTGCTGTGACAGTCGATCTGATAACCGAGACTGCTTATTAAGTGACTAACAGGCGGGGACAACACGAGACTTCATCACACTACTCAGCCTGGTATGCGGTTTAAAACTTACGGGTTGTTTATTTTGGAACTTCTCATTTAATGTTTTTGGACCGTGGTTGAACACGCATAACTGAAACCACGCAAAGTGGCAGTGTGGATAGAGGGGGTGACTGAATTCTAGAATGACTAGAGATTTGGGAATACGTTTGTCAACTCATTCATTGATTAAAATTCATTGCATACCGACTATGAGCCAAAGGTCCTGGGGATGCACAGGGAACACAGTCCCTGCCCTCAAGGACTCTGCGGACTTTAACCAGCGAGTGAGGATTTATGTAGAACCCACTGTTCAGAGATAAACTATTAGAAGACTGTCATTTCGCACTCACGTAGCATCCCCGGGGCCACTCTTGGTATCATCTGCCTATAATGCGTTTTCACTCACTCAAACAGCCTTCACCGAGGGCCTCGCATGCACGAGGCACTGGCCGAGACCCTGGGTCGCAGGCTCCTTACCCTGAAGGGGTTCGGGGGCGCAACGATACTCTGATGGAGCACGTACGAGGTTCTGCGCGTGCAGAGGAAGGCGTGCTGGCCTCGTCAGGGGCTGGCAGTCGTCGGAAGTCAGGGAGGGAGGAGCTGGCGTAAGTACCTAGACCTCGAGGGTCGAGCAGCACTTTGTAAGGTGGAGAGGGGAGAGAATGCCAGTGGGGTCATGACTTGGGATCTGGTCTGGTACCTCGGGCCATTCCTCGTTTTCGGTGTCTGGGCTGGAGAGAGATCTTTTACATGCCTTACTGTAATGCTGAAATGTTGATGATGAGTGGTTGGGTTTTCGTTTTGCTTTTGGAGGTAAGATTTCATCTGCGACTTTCCCTTCAATGTTTGTGTGTGTCTGTGTGTGCGCGCTAGAGAAGACACCCAGGCTAATGCCCGAGAAGGGAAGCATGTATTATCCACGGGTCCAACACTATCGAGAGCTGCTCGACTCCTTGCCGATGGACGCCTACACGCACGGCTGCATCCTACACCCCGAGCTAACGGTCGACTCCATGATCCCTGCTTACGCAACGACGCGGATTCGCAGTACGTAGGAACCTTAAAGGCCTGGGGTTTCTTTTCCCTCATTTCGAGACCTAGCACATCTCATGGTCACCGAGGGAAGGCTGGGGACAGAGCTGCTGAGTGTGCTTCATGCACGTGCGTGTGATGGGCTAGTTCATGCACCTCTCAGATGAATCGGTGCCGGCCGGATGTGTACTGTCTACAGGGCCGGTTTTCCCAGCGCTTGGTTTCGAGGGCCAAGTTTGGATAATGCTTAGAAAAGATGGCCTCTGGCAAAGCAAAGGCCACGCATGTCTCACAGACAGATGGACCGGGTGTCAGGAAAGCGGGGGTCGGGGGTCTGCTGGGGCTGAGTGGGGGCTGGGTCCACGTCTCTGGTTCTTGATTTTTCGCTCGTCTTGAACTGTGAGCGGTGTGACCATTCCTCACGTCCCGATGCAGCGGCCGGGGTTTTCGGGGCTGAGTGGGTGCCCAGCGCTCCCCTCTCCTCCCTCCTGAGGGCAGAGCGGGGTCAGGGCTGAGAGGCAGAGCAGGAGGCGTGCGCTGTGGCACAGGGCCTGGGGGCATCTGGCCAGAAGCCCGGACACCCGGATCCGCTACACCCAGAAACCGCGCTCTTTCCGGGGCGTCGCGCGCTGACCTACGTTACTTTTCTTTCTGATGCTTCACTTCCCCCCTCTCCCCTCTTCCTCCTCCTCTCCTCCCTCTCGTTCGTGCCCCTCCTCATCGTGAGGGCTCACACGGCACTGGCGCCAAGCAGAGTGACAGATACGATTCTGTCACAGAGTTAAATTTACTTATTTACTTATTTTTTTAAAATAGGGCCTTTTCCTCCCCTTCACACAGAAGTTCGTTACAGAAACCTTGAAAGGTTCTGAAAAGTCGGCCCGCTGCCCGCACGGAGCGCTTGCCGGGCACCGGGGCTTGGCCCGAGCGCTTCCCATTCTCCCCTCGCCCCCGTGTGGTGGATACTCGGACAGTCCCATTTAAAGATGAGGAAACTGAGGCACGGAGCGGGCACGTCCGAGCCGGAGGCTGGGCACCGACCCCGGAGCTGTCCCTGACTCTCGAGTTTCCCCGCTTCTCTTGTTTCTTGCATGGAAGGGAGGAAATAATTTTCTGTTTCCAAAATGATTTCATTATCAGGCCAAATTGGTAACACAGAGTCTGAACTGAAGAAACTGGCGGAGGAAAACCCGGATTTGCAAGAGGCGTACATCGCGAAACAGAAGCGGCTTAAGGTGAGCACAGCAGGCTGTCGTCGACGGGCGTCCGCTGCTCCTGTCCACTGCTCCGCCTTTCGTAAAGTGTCGCGCTGATTCTAGGACGTCTTCTGTGAAATACCCTGAGTCACCCGTACGCAGATCACCCATGGCTTATGTGGTGCTTTTAGAAAGAATTTTTCTGTCTTAGGTTTGATAGTCTAACCTAACGACAGTTGCTTAAAAAGCAGGTACTGTGCCTGCCGGTTGCCGAGGACAAGTTCTAACGCGTGAGAGCAAGTGAATGAAACGCCCTGGGAACCTGTCGTTTCAGGCTCTGCCCCGTGAGGCCGGCCCGGCTGCCTCCGCAGGGGCCGGGCTCAGCTTTCCTCTGTCTGTCGGTTCCTTCCCCGCCACCCAGCTCAAGCCAGCTTCTCGCGTGCTGCACACGTACGTGGCAGACACCATCACGGCCTGGCCGCCTCAGCTCCCACCTCTTTGCGTCTTCTCTCAGCTCAGCAGCTGCTCCAAGGAGCCTGCACACAGCTGCCCTTACTGCCCCCTCGCTCCTCAGCCCGCTGCCTCGACGTCCTGTCCCCCCGGCCCGGCAGGTGGTCACACGTCATTCACAGAGAGCCGCACCCGACAGGTCTCCTTGTGCCCCTCATATTCTGTGCCCTCTCTGGAGTGGCCAGCGAGCCGTGGGTCTGGCCCTGAGGGGCTGTGGCATCCCCCCAACTTCGCTTTTGCTTTCAGAAGGTCGCCCAGAATGGAAGGCCCCGGCCCGGTGGGAGTTTGCATCTGCTTTGCTCTACTCTGCGTGTTTTTAGGGGCCTAGAGTAACCTTGAGTTATTTTCGTTAAATAGTCAAAGCTGCTGGACCACGACAATGTCAAGTATTTGAAGAAAATTCTTGATGAGCTGGAGAAAGTCCTGGACCAGGTCGAAACTGAGTTGCAAAGAAGAAATGAAGAAACCCCGGGTAGGTTCTCGCGCGTGTCCTTTG